CTTTCTCATGCTTCTTCTACTACTAATATTTATAGTTTTTATAAGTAATACATATAGATAGAAGACCAAATCCTGAAACCTGGTCTTAATAAATAATTCTTATTATTCAATAATGAATAAAAATACTAAACCAACATAGATAATTGCCTCTAAGACTTATTAAGACTCCATTTCTACCACTAACATTCTAATTTCCTATTTTTCTAAAGATTTCTATACTAATTACTATATATTATGATTTAAAGTATTCTAAATGTGTATTTTTATCCTAAAACAATAAGTGAGTCAATTTGATAACTCATATGAATCATTAAATCAATTCATTAATTGTTTTAGGATAAAAAGATGCATTTGGAGTGCTTAGAACCACAATTTATAGTAAATAGTATAGAAATATTTAGACAAATAGAAAATTAAAATATTAGTTGTAGAATTGGAATCTTAGTAAGTCTTGGAGGTAATTATCTTAGTTGATTTAGTATTTTTTACTTAGTATTGAGTATTGAGAGATATTTATTAAGGTCAATATTTGTATTGGCCTTCTATCTATATAAATTATTTATAAAAAAAACTATAAATTTTATTTAGTAGTTAGAAGAAGCATAAAAAGAACCTCATGTCTTTTTATTTAGTTGTAAAGAAAGTATAATTTATGATAGATTTTAATTAATTTTATTACTAAAAAAACCATCAAGATAAGAAATTATAGTCTTAAACTGATATTAGAATTTTAAAAATATTATAATAATTTTTAAATTTTATTTAAAATTTATTAAGAATTATTTAGGAATTTTTAGAGTAATTTCTAAGACTTTGATAAAAATGAGTTTTACAACTTCGGTAGCCATTATGAAAAAATGGAGTAAGATTTGAAGGCCACAAAAGATTTTGAAGCTAATCGGGTATTTTTAAACATCATGGTGAAGTCAAAAATGCAAAATTATTGGTTTTACTAGTAGAAAATAGGAGGACTAGCAACTAGTGTAGTCCTTATAAGAAAAGAGATGCAGAAGTTCCATATGGATTGTAGCACCTTGAAGGTAGTTAGGAAGATAAGTCTAAGGCCTCGTGGCCTCTCTTAGAGACCCATATATACTATTTATGAGCCTTGGTGAGGATCAAGCTCTTGATATCTTAAGTAAGTTATCTTTGAGATAAAAATTATTTACTTAATTTTTCATTTATTTACTTATTATTTTTAAACCTTCATAACTTACTCATAATAACTTGGATTTATATGTTTTTTATATCATTGGAAAGATAAAAAAATGATATTTATAAAAATATATTTTTTAATTTTATTTTTTACTTTTTATTGGATGAAAACTCAGTGAATAGACTTTAACTAGTTTAGTGGTTTAGAATTGCTTAATTGCACTTATTTCACTTATTTTTGTGATTTGCTTCTTTTGTTCTTGTTCTTACTACTTTTGCTTTATATCACCAATTACAAGCAACTCTTAATTGAGGCCATCTTGTAATTGAATTAAAGAGTGAATTTTACACTCATAACAAGCTTTAAAGAAAAAACAAATTAAAATAAAGCATAGAGTGCAATAAGATGAATCTTCTTCAAATAAAAGAAAATATCTTTTGAGAGAAAGGAGACTATGTGGTGAATGGTAAAGAATTACATATTTCCTCAAATAAGTGAAGAACATATCAATGTTGCACTTTTTGTTGATTGATTGAATTTTTATAATGCAATGAAGTCCATAGATGCTATGAAGTGAGAGAAGGCCATGAAAGAAGAATACAAATCATTTATAGAAAATAGAATGTAGAAATTAACTTAACTTCCATCAAATCAATATTCAATTGGTTGAAAGTAGATGTTTAGAACCAAAAGGAATATAATAGATAATGTTGTGAGATATAAGGCGAGATTAGTTGCTAAAGGCTACTTATAAGTTCTTAATATTAATTTCAATGAAAAATTTGCTTTTCTAGCCAAATTTACTACTATTGAAGCTATTGTGGTAATTGAAATAGCATTAGATTTTGAAATGCATCAAATAGTTGTAAAGACAACTTTCTTGAATAGAAAGTTGAAAAAAGACATATACATGGATCAACTTCAAAGAATTTTTGAAGAAAGAAAAAAATACCTTATTTGTAAGTTGAAATAATCTTTGTATACACTAAAACAATCATTAAGGGCATGGTACCAATATAATGACACATTTTTTATGATTCAAAGGTTTATAAGGAGTAAAGCTAATCATTTTTTGTATATAATGCAATCAAATGAATTTATATTGATTTTCATCTTTTATATTGATGATTTAATAATATAGAATAATACCATGAAAAAGATAGATTGGTTGAAAGCAAAATAGAAAAAGAGTTTGAAATGAGTGATTTGAGAAAGCTCTAGTATTATTTAAGAGTGGAATTTGTTAGAAATTATTGTAACAAGACTATTACAATGAGCCAAAGCAAGTACATTAGAGAGGTGTTGAAAAAAATTCAATATGGGAGAGTATAAGTCCATTGGAACACCTTTGGAAGCCAATTTGAAGTTGATGAAGATCATAGATGACGAGTTTTCTGAAGTTGAAGATAAAATGAAAGATGTTCCATATAAAACAAGAGTAAACTTACTTATATATGAAATGGTTGGTACAAGGATGGATTTTGCATATTTGATGAGTATTGTAAGTCAACACATGTTAAAGGCTTGACTAATCCATTAGCAAACTATTAAGATGATTATGATATACTTAAGAGACACTTTGAACTTCAAATTGTGACTTGGAAGAAATAATATAGCATTACATAGTTATTTTGATGCAGATTGGGCTAGAGATGCAAATTTTAGAAAGTCAACAACAGAATATGTGTTCTTTGTTAGAATGGGAGTAATCTCATGGAATTCCAAGAAACAACTAACAATTGCAAGATCTATAATAATGGCGGAATACATTGTAGCAAGTCAAAGTACAATAAATATAATTGGATTAAGATAAATTTAGAAGACATTTAACTTATACAATTAGAAGCAACTCTATTGAAGTGTGATAACCAAGGATGTCTTACTTTTATAAAGAATTTAAAGTATTACTTAAGAATCAAGGACATTAATATTTAACATCTTTTTATAAGAAAGAAGATTGAAATGAGAATTATTGACATAAAATATTATATAGTAGAAGACATGCTTACTAATTTGCTAACAAAAGTACTAGTAAAGGATAGGCATCAAAAATTGAACAAGATACTAGATTTAAAAGCCTTTGAATAATAACAAAATTAAAGTATTAAAATAAAAATGAGATATAATTATCTTTAATAGATTGCTAATAGTTAAAAGATAATAAAAGAATGAAGGTAACTTACTAATGTGACAGCAAAGTTAAGAAAAATCTATGATTAAGTTGAATGGATGAAGTTGATTATAGATGAATTTTAATTATAATAGATGTAAATTCCTCCTTTAAATAAAGGATGTTGGAAGTAAGAAGTATTTCATTCCACACTTCTCTTATGTGCAACAATTTTGATTTCTACTTACTTGTGTCTTATTTGTTGTATTTCTTGAATATAGATGAAGTTACAATTTTAATATTCATTGATACTTCAAGTTGGCTAATTCCAAATGTCTCATAAAGTTTGCAATTTATATTGTTTTAGTTTCTAAATATATAAAATAATATATATATATATATATATATATATATATATTAATTATATAGAGTTGAAGGTTGAGATGAAGGGCCAAGAATAAATAAGATAAAGATAAAGGTTGGGAATAAAAGAAGGGAGGGAAGGAGAGAAGGGGTGTTTAGGATAAAAGTTGAAAACCAAGAAGATTGAAAGTAAGGACTAGAAACAAAGAGGATTGGTATGAGGGCCATGATTCTAATGATGGTTATGATAGATAGGATGATTTAATAAATAGATGATTTGATTTAATAATGTCTATAATTTTTTTAATTATAAATATTATTAGCAATTTTATCCTATATATATATATATATATATATATATATATAATATTTATGATGTAATTATTTTTAATGACATCTAAAGAGTCTTATCAAAATTTAATAAATGATACTTTTTGATTTTAAGTTTATTAATTTATAAAACCTAATGTATAATAAATTACATGTCAATTTTATTAAGATTATTTAAATTCTTTGTATAGATTAAAAATTTATAAATTTTATTCTATTATTATTGTAAATAGCTTAAACTTACACTAGAAGCATATTCCAAATCGCCATATGCATATCTATTATGTCTATATATACACCAAAGACCTCTAACTTGTTGCTCAAAATACTGTCTTCTTTATCTTGGCATATATCTCAAACATCCTCTCCTTCTTTTCCTAGGTGGAAGCCCTAATTCTCTCATCTCCTTCTTTTTTTGTCTTGGCACAAGTTCCAATTCTCTCTTCTCCCTCTCTCTTATCAAGGCAGCAAAAACTAAAAAATTAAGGACAAAGTCCAAGACTTGCATCATACATTGGAACAAGGAGGAAGAAGAAGACATTTAGGACTCACACTGAGACAAAGAATAGGAGAAAGTCAAGACAAATAGGAGGGAGAAGAAGGAACTAAGATTCATACCAAGACAAGAAAGAGGAGATTTACAGCAGCCAATCAAAGGCCTTGACTGTGTATAGATATAGTATGTGTGTATGTAGCATGAGCCAATAGCTAATTGATAATCACTCATGTTATATTGATTGTATAGTCCATATGTATTTTTGAAGCTCATTTCAAAAACATACAAAAAAAAAAAAAAAAAAAAAAAACTTCAATTTTTTTTAAAAGTTGAAATATAAACAAAGTTTTTGATTGAACAGTATATGATTATCAGAAGATGTGCAACGCAGAAATACAAGAAATATCAATTAATGCATCCTGGTTAGTATTTAGCAAATTTAAGTAGGTTTGTTTCTTTAGAGTTACTGAAATTTTTGGAAATTATGTATGCCTGATTGTTTGACGATAATTTTGCACTTCAAACATCCTCTTACAATGTTGAACTGTATTGAAATTTTCACTATAAGAAGCCATTTTCATTACTGTTGGTAAATTTAAATTCGGAAGCACTTCCGCACACAGTGATAGGATGAGTGAATATACATATACATATATATATATATTTCTCTCGTACTATGTTCTACCTCATCGCAAGTTGACCTGCATATTGTGATAACCTTAACCTTTCTTCAGTACCTAGTAGCTCAAAAATCTTATTTGGCGGGGCTTGGACTCTACAACATCCCATTCTTCATGGAAGTCCTGCACTGTCGCTAGACGTCAGGACCCTTGATGATGCACTGCAAAAATGGCATGAACTGAAAGCGCCAGTGGGGCACGATTGTTAACCCATATAAAATAGTATACAACCTGTGGAGACTTGGTTTCTTAACTTGCTTCACCAGAATGAAGTTCCTGAATTCGGACACACACTGGATGTCAGTGGTACTCTCCAGGTAGGAGTGAACAATGCAGTCGCAAGAGGCCCACCAGATTTCGTAACAACCACTTCAACTTCAACCACCACTCAGCAGACCTAGTCTGTGAGTAGATTGTTAAATGAATAGTAGAGATGAAGCACCTGGCTGCGGTAACTCGACTTGGAGCCGCACGCAAAGACATAGAATATTCAGACGGACTGGAAGATGTCTTGGAAGAAGTCTTATCTGACTCAGATGCAACGCTTAGCTGACTGACAAAACGTAAGACTTGTGTTAGAAAATGACAGTCGTATACCATCATATTTCGAAATCACTTGCAAAATGTCTCTGCATTCTTACACGAGGAAGCGATACCCAATTCCTACATTATTTCTGAAAAGGAAGAAAGTAAAAAGAAAAAAGAAAGAAAGCAAGAAAAAGGTTGTTGTTTAAGTATGCTACAAACCAGTATCAAAAAGTATCATTGAACGTTGAGTCAGCCTCAAGATCGTCCCATTCAAGCTCTGCGTCTTTGTCCTCAAAGTCTGGCAGACTCGAGGTGAGATTCAGTGGGACCTCGAGAGGAGGTGGTGTCTGCGTAGCACACGGAATTCAACAAGCACAGATCAGACAAGTAATGTAAATGGTGTGAGTCTGATAATCGGAACCACCCCCCAGCGTTTATGGGTTTGAATGGATACACAAAGAAGGAACTACATGCTTGGTACCACACAATTCATTCTCGAACAAACCACGAGAGAGATGGCACTGGAACTGCCTCGAAGCATTTGAACTAATACATACCATGATGCGTATGAGAGGCCAGTTGATGTCTTTGAAAAATGGGTGATTCTTGATGTCATTTGCACCACGATAAGAGCCAAGCCTCTTCAGAGGATCTTTGTTAAGAAGATCTCGTATCAACAGCTTAGCTTCCAAACTCACCTGCAAGCCGTTCTTGTCAAAGTCAAATCCTCATTGCTCAAGACTAGATACTTCGGCATTAACTGAATACAGTCAAGATACTGATCCAAATAGTATTGGAGTTCTAAATGTAAGACATCTCCAGTCAATCATGCTCAGAAGCTTACAGGAATACTTGATGGGAAGTAGAGCTCCTTCTCTAGAATGTTTGAGAAAGTGTTTTGTCGATTCTTCCCTCTGAATGGCGTACGTCCAAATAGCATCTCATATAGCAATATACCTAAAGCCCACCAGTCCACAGCGCTGCTATGCCCTAGACCCGAAATGATCTCCTGTGCAACCAACACGGTCAATTCAAAGAGGTTACAATCAGGAAGTCTAGGTTTGAATCGAAACATGAGAAAATCTGATCATGCAGTCCACACACTTTGCAAACTCCAAGAGCAGCTAAGAAGAGGTATCCTCACAGGGGCAATATACTCTTCGGTCCCCACGAAAGAGTTCGATGATGTCACTGGCTCAGCAAAGATCACAGGGCGAGGAACATTCTTAGACTTCTTCCTGCTTTTCTTTTTTGGCTTCGGAGGTGTGACCATCTGCACAGCATTGTTCCAGATTTTTCTGCATTTTAGTAAAAGTACACGGTAATCGGGTTCGACATAGCCAAGTCGCACAAGAACTGAAAACAACCAAATCAGGAAACGGGAATAAGTTTAAGAGAATTCGAGCTAGATCATCTGTATTCCATGGGTGGCCTGCTACTTTGTCTCGGGTGTTGAATATGAATAAACCTCATATGTAAGACTTCTCAATTTTTTAAGTATTTTATTGGGCATTTAGCTCGTCTGACACCACACTATTTGATAGTTCTCCCCGTTCATGGAACTAGATTCGTGATCCCAGGTATAGAGCAGGAAACAAACCTCCACTCGAGGTGAGGATACGAAAGACAGGTCAAAATCAGTGAGTTGCACATGTCCACTAGCTGTGACCAAGATGTTTTCTGGCTTCAGGTCTCTGTAGACCACTCCTGAAAACGAAACAGTCGTGAAAAGTACGTTAGGAACAAGGGACCTGTCGCCCACTTCTAGAAAACGGACAAAACCTCCATAATTTCAATAATAACGATTCAAGGCAAGAGATGGGAGGAGCATAGTGAGGGCCAATTGAATTTACCTATGCAGTGTAGATACTCTAGCGCAAGAACCACCTCAGCAGCATAAAACCTGCCAGAACTCAAGGTCAGTTCAGCCAGTTAGTTGAGGGCTAGTTGATCCGGTTTGTTTTAGAAGTAAATGAAATTACAATCCATATTGTACAACAGCAGCCAACACGCCATCTCAAGCCACACCTGGCAGAGTCCTCTTGAAAATGCTTTTTAGGCTGTCTCTCGAGCACCAAGAAAAGCTCTCCACCAGGACAAAAGTCCGTAATCAAACAAACGTGTGTCATAGTCTGCACAAATCAAAACAGCAAAAGTATTACAAACGCACTCAATCTATACAAACCTGCTTCAAAACTCAATTAATCACTAGGAACTTGAAAGTCCATAGAGAGCAAGAACATATTTCGAACCTGAAATGATGCATACAGAGTGGGTAGAAAAGGATGATCTACAAGGTCCAAAATAAGCCTCTCAGCACAAGCTCGATGCACCTTGTTGCGATCCAGCATAACTGTCTTATCCATAGCCTTCATGGCAAAGACATGGCCAGTTCCGCGCAGTGATACGAGGTGTACACTTCCAGTATCGCCGCAACCCAGAGGTTTGATGGGCTTGAAATGCTTCAATCCCAACTTCTGTCCACTGCTCCTCACCTACTCATAGCGAGAATATAACTTCTTAAAGCTTGCGTTCGAATTTGTGCATTACTGGAGAAAAAGAATTCAAATAGATTAGATACGACAACAACAACCAAGAATATGATTCGAATATTACCTTAATCAAGGCTTTCCATGCTGCGGTTCCACCCATGTGTGGCTTGGGTTTCACAAACTCTGAATGGTTCGCCCACAAGTCCTCCGGTGACTGCAATCATCAAGCGTGCATAAATAGCCCTTTCTTTAGTACGATTCAAGTGAGGAAAATAGTGCTACTCTATCAAGATCGACATTTCCCATTCGTAATGGCACAAAAAACAAGCAATGTGACTCACCGTATTTGCATCTGGTAACTCACGAACTGCCACGTCGATATTCCTTGCAGTTTCTCGTACCTGAAACAGGGAATGCAGTAAGGTTACAGATTCTAGGAATGGAATGCATAGAATTTTCTGTGAAACTCAATTGCCGTGAGGTCACGATCTACTCATCAGAGGCTAGAAAATGTGGTGGAATTTATATGGCTCGCACCAGCTTTGCACTCGCTTTCTCCGTATTATCAGACAGTCGATGACGAACCGGTTCCACATACTGACTCCCATCCAGCTGCACTCCGATAAAGTACTGCAACTCCCCCTGAAAGAAACCATATGACGCTAAGCATTAGCTATGTCCTCAGAGCTCCAGATACTCATCATTCGGAGCCGGATCTTCAATACTGAAAAACTGAAACTAGAAACACAGCATTTGTACCCTTTGATCGCGCATGGCCTGCAGATGGAAGAGATTCCAAAATGGTTTCCCTGCAATTGCCACCAGTCACCAGTCAAGTACCAATAATACCAGATTTCAAATGATACAAACGTAGGTACAAATCTTCCGTTCGAATATCATTGTGGATAATGCAACAAGTAGTTCAAGGATGTTTCGCGAGCTATGATCAGTTACCGCTCTTAGTGTAATTCAACAATTGGACTGTGATATCTCTATTCTCTTTGATTGCGTCTCTTATCTGTTGCACAGTGTTTTGATCTGTGTCTTGGCCTTGCAAAAATCTGCAAAACTCTCCAATATTTGATAGTATCAGCGCACAGCTGCTTCAATTTGGATTCAGAATGTACAGCCGCTCTAGCAGAGACATCGGATAGTCCTCCAAAAACAGAATTTAACTGGTTATGGTGTATGGCATTGACCTGCAGTTCCGACCCAGAACCTCCTCTCGAGTATACTCAGTCAATTCCAAGAACTCGTCAGACGCAAAAATCTGCATCACAGGGGCCACGCAATTTCAGTCTCACCATCAGTGAAAGTACCTGCAAGTACATCCACATCAAGCATGGTACAGCAACATCAGGGGACCATTGAACGGTTGAAAGTACAAGAAGCTTACAATTGGATTGTCAGGGAGCCGAGGATCGGTAATGACAAAGTTTTTGTCGATTCGCTCAAGCGTGGTGGCCAAGTCGATTCCTCTACGGATACCCAGAGTACGGTCAAAGTCGTCTTGGCTCTCAGGCCGCTCATACCCCAGCATTACAACCTCTGGATCGAACTCGGATTCCGGGATATCTTCGTGCATCAATCGTTGCGACTTCCCTATCCCAAGGAGGGATAAGAATCCTGACGTGCGCTTGCTGCGAGTGGTAGACATGAGATCATGTTCCGACACTCCGGAAAGCTTCTGGTGGCGCAAGCTGGGGTGAGGTTCACTGGAGCCACGGTGGCTGTGCTCTTTGACGTTAGAGAACTTCGGCGATGAGATTGAGTGAATGCCCGGGAGTGGGGACACGAACGAATCTGCTGCAATCGCTTGTGTCGGCGGAGTCACTGGCGGCGGTTTCTTGAAGGCTCCCACTAGCTCAGTCACCGATTCTGTTGCTTTATCTTTCTGCCGAGCTGCAAACAAAAGAATCCAGAGCCACAAGCACTCAATTAATCAGTAATGCATCTCGAAGTCTACAAATGAAATCGTGAAAATTGACGCTAGGACTACTCAGAAATTGCGATGTTACAGGCGCGCTCTTCGGCAAATTCAGTCAGAAATTCTCAGCAAGCAAAACACACCGTCGTATCGGATGAGCGACTCGGGCAGACCGTTGGGACGTCGAGCCACGGCTTTAGCACCCTCAGTGTACTTGCTCACTTCCACTTGCATCCTGTACAAACCAAAAGCTCCCAAATCAATTCAAAACCAGCAATTCATTACAACGAAACTGCTTAGGTCTTCACTGCAATTCGAGAACAAAAGTACAATATAAATATAATAATAAAAACGTGATCAATTGGTCGTCAATGTGGAAAGCTTTCAGTCCTCACCCAATGAACTTGATGACCTTGTCATTTTCGTCCTTGATTGGCGTGATGGTTAGCAAATTCCAGAACTGCGTCCCATCCTTTCTGTAGTTCAGTAACCGGCCACAGAAAGGCTTCCCAGTCCTCACAGCCTGCCGAATCTTTTCAACTTCCATGGGATCCGTGTCAGGGCCTTGCAAGAATCGGCAATTGTAGCCGATCACCTCCTTCGGGCTGTACCCAGTCATGCTGAAGAATCCCGCACTCGCGTACATGATGGGGTAGTCCGGTTTCGTTGCATCTGATACCACAAAGGTTTGCTTGAAGGAAGACAATGCGTCAAGTAAATCCTCCGAAACACGCACAGGTACCTCCTCTGACACCTCCGAGTGTGCTCTCGAGCCTGGTCTCGTGCGTGGAATATACTCCGACTTTTGGTACTCTTCAGAGAATCTTCGATAAGAGCCAGATGGTCTCTGGTAATTTTCACTTGATCGCCTCATCCGCATTTCCTCTGACTTACGAGTGGTCACGCCTTGCGATTGTCCATCTACGCTAGACCTGAGCACGAGTCCCCATTCAGCAACTCTCTCAGCCATGAGCTCCTGCGACAAAGAGTTTTCCTTCACGGGCTTCATTACATCCCTGTCACTCGCGTGATCATTGCCCCGAGACGATTGTGAGTTGCTGCGAGAGTTTCTGGCAGAATTCATTTTCGATGTCAGCCCTTCTACAACCATAGCCCTCTCTGAAAGAGATTTCTCGATCTCTGCCAATTTGCGGCTGCTCTGTGCCAGAGCTGGAACTGTTGAGGTCACCTTCGGACCGAGTGAATGTTGTGGTGATTCGACGTCTACTCCGCTCCAGCTGCTGAGCGACCCCGAGACGCTTTGCAGAAGATTGGGGCTGCCTTCTTGCGGCTCAATGTTCTCCGCGACTGCCGGACCGCCATATACCCCCGCTTGCATGAGCCGCGGAGCACCGCCGAATACTTCCAGAGAGCCTCGGTTTCCCCTGTCCATGGGCTTCTTATTGTTACCGGCATATGACCCAAACGTTGGGAAACTCGTTGAGGGCTCCAGAGACGGCATCCTGAAATGCTCGGAGAATTCCTGCTGTTTCCTGTCTACGCCTGAACTCCCCGAACTCACTCTCCCAAATTCGTCCATCAGTCAGCGTGGCTGGTGTAAGTAGAGATGGCCATCATCGTCAACGACATCAACGTTTGTGCGAACCATCTTAAATCAAACGGAGGCTCTTCCACTTCAAGGGAGATGGTCGGCTGGACATATTCACACACAAAATGTCAAAACCATTCTCGCAGCATATCTGTCTGTACGGACCCAAACCAATATTGCTCAATCATGCACTTCGAATTGACGAGTAGTTATTGAATCTCTAGAGAATCTAATTTTGAAGAGGTTCAATCAACTCCCGTCGTAGCTTTGCATGTTCCAAAAAACGACTGCAATGTGCCTTCGTTTCGTAAATGTACTCTTTGCTTCCGAATACAAGTACCCGCTAACAACGTACATTGACAAATGTTGAGCAAAGATTAACACAAAGAAACTCGACTCAAAGTGTCGACGTGAGACGGGTAAGGTCGTGTTCTGCAGCTGTTATATCGAAGTTGGCGTGAAACACAGGTCCTCGCAGAAATATTCTAGTACAAAAAGTTTGTATACCCCCACCATTTTCCTGGCATCGAATAGCTGAACTTTCCACTCGCCACAACTCTGAGGAATTTGAACCTGAGAATCTCTAGTTACTCCACTCAAATTACCTTGAAAAACTGAAACAGTAAACGTTTCTCCAATTATTCTTCAACGTCTGAATTCTTCAACCGCGGGCCAGCGGGTGTGCTGGCGAAAAGATTGCGTCTGTACACTGCTCGGGGTTTCTGACCTCTATCTAACGCCCTCTAAACTTTACTGTGGAGTATGCTGTTACAAAATAAAAAATCTAAACTCAGTCAATGCAATTATCTCTCCCTCTCACAACATGAAACACTGACAGCACAGAGAAGGGATGGGGAAAACGAGCCACCAAGGCATTTCATAAGTTTCAAAGCACCAGCGTAAAATCATCGAAACAAGCAGGAAATACAATTCGGATTTCGCACTGGCAGAACTTTGCAGCTGTGACAGTAATCTTGATAAAATTGGAAGAGAGGAGTGAAGGTGGAGGCGTATCCACGAGCACCTGTAACCTACCCCCCCCCCCCCCCCCCCCACGATAAATCTCAGGTCTTAAACAATGAATCCCCACAGCATTCGACGAAGGCAGAGAGTGCTGCGTACCTAGTGACCCAAGGTAGCAGGTTGGTGATGGTTGAAACCTGCGTTCGAGCAGAAAAACAAGGATAGCGAAGCCAGTAGAAGAGAGTCTAGAGATTGATTTTCGAGGGAGGTAGAGGAGCTGTGACGACCTTGAGGGAGCAACTGAAAGAGGAAGTTGGAAGGGATGAGTGTGGAGCGGTAAGAGCGAGAAGGCAAATTTGGGAGAAAATCTTGCTTGGGTTGCATTAGCTATAACAGATAGGCCGTTCATAATTATCCATTTCAACACAGCCAGGGGGCTACCAGACAACTATCTACGTCGCAGGCAGCTGGAGATGAGGCAGACCAGAGAACGAGTGTTTGGTTCCCGCTCTGATCTGCTTCGCGCGCTTCCTCACCATTTGTGGTGAACCATTCACCGTCTCTTTCTGTGGGCCCAGCCAACCGTATGTAGTGTGGCTGTGTGGGTGTGTGCCTCATCCTCGGATGCGAATTTCATCCTTCCCTTCCTCGTGTGAGTGAGTAAATCCAAAAGATTCCTTCGAAACTCCTTTTCTACAAGAATACACCAAGGACCATCTCTGACTTTCCATGATTAGCACTGTGTAGTTTCGCCTTTGAGGATTGATTGGCGACCAAGGCAGTTTTCTAATGGTCTGCTGCAATATGCACTAGAGATTGGTGCCTGAGTGCTTCAATCTTTCGTTGCACAGCTGGCTGGTCAATAATCCTGAGTAGTAATCACTTTTTCTGGAACACAATTTGATCCGACATGATTGGTAGTGACGATTATTCCCGATACAGGTGGTGGTTGGAAATCACTGGGAACGGATGACAATCATTCAGTGCAGCCAGACTTCCGTGGCTGAGGAATCTTCACGACATGGCCATTGAGAGAAGCACACCAGATGCCAGCGCAGTCCAACTGTGAGGCAGCTGCGTTTCACTCCTTTTTTCGATCCTACTGTGCTTGTGCCTCGGATATGCCGAAGCGTACGAGTTTTATCTATTCGTATCATGGAAGGCAGTCAAACGTCTGCTTTAATGACAAGTGTACCAAGTAGATGCTTCAGCTCATAGATAAATTACTGTTCCTCTAAACTATCAGGTCAAGCAGTTCTTGATTCTGGTTGAGCTGTTTCAAATCTCCGAGCCTCGTATTTTCTCTCTTGAATCCCATCGTCACTTGCATGCTGTCACTGTTTACTCTGGCCACACCAAGACGTCCATGGCACCAATCGTTAGAGGAGCAAATTGTCCCTCAATAAGTCGGGGATGGCTTCTAATTAGATTGATATATAATGGCAGGAATCCTGAGCTGCTACACATATGTAGACGCAGCGTTGAACATAGAAAGTAGGCCAGAGGATCTCTGTTTGTCCGAGTAGGAATGTGAACATAAAGCGTGAGATGGCAGTAACTCACAAGGAAAGTTTCGCAGATACGGCAAACTAATGCGGCACATTAAGTGCTCTTGGATCAAAACACCCAGGAGCTCAAGCTCAATTCACAGCAGGCATTTTTGCGTTCCACGGTCCACAGAGGTCCTCATCATCCTTTTTTAAGAAAACTGTTCCATTTTTAATTTCATAGACTTCGAAATAGTGGTAGACTAAGGCTAGCGCACAGAATGGGGGCCACAATTCATACCCACAGACAAGCGCGAGGGTGCCGAATTGCTCTTGTTGCCAATTGATGATGTGGCGGTATCAGCAACCACACACGGTGGGCAATCGGATGTGGATTCTTGGCTTTCGGACGCATTCCACTCGGCTAGGTTGCATGGCGCAGATGAATCCACGGTGGCGCTCCCTTCGTCAAAGGTCACCCAAAAGCATTCAACCCAGCTTGACCGGTCTCTGCCCACTCCGCCAACAGCTTAAGTTAGACTGCAATATCCTTTTGTGCGTTCCATGAGATGGAGGATCTAACTCCGAGTCCAATACGTGAAGATCTGCCGATTCAGTTAGTCCAGTGCTGTGAACTGCTTGCTTCGGCCCCCTGCTTTCCAAAAGTAAAAACACAAATCTCGCGCATATCGCACACACTCCGTGAAGGAATCCCGAAGAACGGGGAGACAAACACAAACACTGAGCTAGAGAGTCCCATCCATCCATTGATATATTCATTCTTACACACACTCACACCTACATTCACCCATGTCCGTCAGCACAGACAGCAGTCTAGAATTCATCTGTTGGGGGAGGGGGAATAGTAAAGACTATTTTGAAGAAATTGGAGAGGCTGGAAGACTACACCAGCATCATTGCATTGTGTGTGGTCAGTCAGGATGCAGTCTCTTTTGCATTTCCTCTATTCTACTTATAATACCTTTCTTGAGGGGCAAGAGGGTGGGTGATTGCGATGAGACGCAAAGGCCACCCCATTAATTCCATCCTCTCTTCCAAGTTAATACTGTTGTCATCGACTTGAGTATGCATTTGACATCAGTGCTATTTGCTCTCTCACTCTCGCACTCTCTCTCTCTCGCTCTCTCTCGCTGTGTATAATTGGGTATATGATTTTTAATTTCTTTTTTTTTGCAATTATTGGCTTGCCTTGGTGTAGGAAGAATTCATGTGTGTTTCCTAACAAACTGAGTAAAGGTGGGTGCGATCATGAATGGGTTTCATTGCCTTTTCTTGAAACTTGAAACTTATCTTTGTAAGCAACTACATGTAATTTTGTTTTAGTTCAAACAGAAAAAGTAAAAAAGTGAAGTCATTAAAATAAAAAAGAGTTGCATTGCATTCTAGAAATAAGGTTCAATTATTAAACTTCTATTTTTGAGTACAGTACATATTTATTACATACACATGTCTAATAATTTGACTTATTACATGTTACTGATAAGTGTGATTATCATTACAAATATAGTATAAAAAAGTAAAATCTAAGATTTATTGAAAATTTCAGGATAAACAATATCTAAAATATTTTTTGAAAAATTGATGAGAAATCACACGCAATCACTATTTCAAATATAAAGTATACAAAGACACAATTTCTCCTATTAAGTATTGTTTAGTATATTATATGAAACAAAATATAATTCATTATTATGGTGACATATATTTTCAAAATTAATTCCATGAGATTTTATATGTTAAAAACCAGTAGTTGTTTAAAAAATTAGAGTTTAGATGTGGTTGTTAACAATTATTTTTTAAAAAAAAATAATAATAATACTTTCAAATAATAATTTGTAGATGATTACTAATTATAAATATTATATTACTATACAAATAAATTATATAATGTGTAATATGTACAATCTACAACAATATGATACTCTTATAATAGTCAACTAAAGTAAAGGTGTCTATTGCAAGGGAAGGTATTAAACATGTGAAGGAAATTTTTGGAATACAAGTTAGTGAAGTTATTATGTGTTTTACACTTCATATAGCAAATTTCAGTTATATGCGAAACAGAAGAAATCATATTTGTTAAGTATAAATATTAGGTCTTGTTTAGAATTTGCCAAAAAGTATGAATACTAAACTATTGATGATTAGAATTATATGATATTCTCAAATGAAACTAAGATTAATAAAAAATAAAAATAAAAATAGATGGAATAGTTTGATGTTGGATTCATGATCCACAAAAACTATCATGAAAGACTATAATTTCAACTATTAAGCATGGTAGTGGTTTTGTGATGATATGGAGAGTATGTGTATACATAAACTTGAAATGATGTACAAAATTAAAGATTGCCTCAACTAGCATGGTTATCAAAAATATTCGGATATATATATATATATATATATTACAATTATAGAAAGTTACTAGATTTGTATCCTATAGAAAATCTTTGGACTATTTTGAAAAGAATACTAAATCAATATGATACATCTCTAAAAGAAATTCTTAAATTATAGTCTTGTGTAGAAGAAATCTTCTCTTCTATCATCGTTGATGATAACAATAGACTTATAGAAACAATGTCCAAACAAATAATAAATGTGTTGAAAGCCAAAGAAAAATGAAAAAAGTAGTAAAGAATTTCCATGTTGGACCTTTAAAATTGTCCTGATATATAAACTAGTAGTAGGATTTTTTTTTTCTTTTCATTGCGTACTTAGATTTTATTAGAATTTTTGTAAGAAACTAATACATTATATGAACTATTTTAATAAATTTACTATATTCCATTCTATAAATTTAACTTACCTATATTATTTTTTGAACGAGTATAAATATTGGGACAATTTTGAAGATCACCATGTATATATATATATATATATATATATATATTCTTTTTTACAATCCATTTAATGCCAACTTATATATATTATAAGAATTATAATTTTATATCTAATAAATTATAGATAACATTTTAAAATCATCATTATCCATTGTTGTAATATAATACAACTATATGGTGAAAATATAATCAAAAATAAATTTATAATTAATATCTAATTATCTTGATTCAATAATAATTCAAGATATTTAAACATGACTTTTATAAAATCCTTTTAGCTAATTTTTTTGTCTTAATAGTTAGTAGGTTAAAGGTTGGTTAGTAATTTTACCTTCTAGGCTATAGACACTCTTTTATTGCCTTAGAAAGACCATAAATTAGTAAAATTAAGATAGAAGAAGTAGATAATTAGTATGATTGATACTAGACTTAAGTTGAGGATAGTGTTGGACTAAAAAATCCCTAGGATAAGTTATATTGATACCCAGGGGTCGACCGTTTGTGAGATAGGATCAAAATCAGACCTCTAGCCATTAAAATGATAATCTAGGGCAAAATAGGGTTTTCATTTGAAGATCACCAATTAGGATTTTAAAGCTAGCTTAGAGCTTATTCTAGAGATGTAAGACTTGTTTTGGTAGGGTTTATTTGGACTAAGCAATTGTTGTTCAAAATTAGGATTTGTATTGGCAACTTGGAATTTATACAATACAATTAGGGCTAGCTTTCTTGGCTAGTTCATGAAATTGGTGTCACATCTATAATTCAAAATTTGATGGTGTTTGGTTAATTGAGTGTACTAAGTGTATGTAAAATTTTGTAAAAATTTAATTGTTTGATTGACAGTTATGTGGGTTTTGATACAAGAAGATATCAGAAGTTCGCAGTTTGGGGTTGGGTAGGATTTCTATGATATCTAAAGTTCTACTAGTTGGATCAAGGTGAAATTTGACACAGTGTTAGAAGACTTGAAGATCAAGCTTCATACCAATTTTGAATTAAAGATAATAATTATAGAAGGAGAAATCACTATAGCAACATTTGCATCAACTTTCAAGTTAGAAGCCAAGTAATATTAGTGTGATTTTTGGGCGTTTTCTCATGGCCTATAAGTTGGACTAGAGTGAATTCTTTTAAAGCACATAGAAGACTTATAGTGGCATTTG